TGAATGAAAATGGAGAACTCTTCGCCGACTTCTGCGCCTTCAACGGACTCGTGATTGGTGGCAGCGTATACAAACACAAAGATATCCACAAGGCTACATGGGTGTCACCAGATGAGCAAACAAAAAACCAAATTGACTTCATCTCAATACTGCTCAAGGAAGCGGAGGACACAAAAGTAAGAAGAGCAGCAGACGTTGGCTCAGATCACTATCTCGTACAAGAGACAATCCAAATCAAATTAAAAGCTTTCAGGGAAACAGGAGCTGCAGATAGATCACAAGCCAAGTTCAACACTCAAAAAGTGAAGGACCAGGCTACAACGGACATCTTCATTGCAAGCATAGGGAACAAAGGCGAGACACAAATCAACACTAGGGAAAAGGTCGGCGTTGAAAAGCACCGGGTAAACTTGAAAACGGTGTGGAGTCAAAACTGCATGGAAGTTCTAGGCACAAAGAAGAGACAGGACAAACATTGGCTCACTGCAGACACTTGGAAACTAAGAGAAGAGAGAAGGACAGTGAAGCAAAAGATTATCCAGTGCACTGACGAGCAACAAAAACAGGAGCTGAATGCAAGCTACAATACACTGAACAAAAGAGTGAAGAAGAGTGCCAGGGAAGACAAAAGAAAATATTATGAAACCATGGCAAGTAAAGCAGAACAAGCTGCAGGCAAAGGAGACCTCGCCACACTCTTTCAAACAACTAGGAACTTATCGGGGAAAAGTTCGACACAGATTAAGCCAGTAGAGGATGACAATGGAAAGTCAATCACCAAAGAGGTGGAGCAAAGAAAACATTGGGCTGAACACTTCAAAAGATTTCTAAATCGACCGCCACCTACAACGAGCCCAACAGTACCAACTACGGAAGCAGAACTACCAGTGAACAACGATCCCCTGACGAAATCAGAAGTCTTGAATGCAATCAAGACGCTGAAAGCTGGAAACGCAGAAGGATCTGATGGAATCCCAGCAAAAGCATTGAAAATAGACCCAGAGACAACAGCGGACTTGATGACGCCATTGCTGGAGAAGGTGTGGAAAGAGGGCAAAGTATTCGAGGATTGGAAGAAAGGATACTTATTCAAACTACCAAAGAAAGGAGACTTAAGTCAATGCAAAAACTGGCGTGGAATTATGCTCTTGTCCATTCCAAGAAAAATACTGAGCCGCACCATCCTGAAGAGAATCATACAAGCCTTAGATGCAAAACTCCGACCGGAACAAGCTGGATTCAGGAGAAACAAATCATGTATTGATCAAATCGCCACTCTACGGATCATCATTGAACAAAACTTGGAATAGCAGTCACCTCTCCACCTCTCTCAACCTCATCGACTTTGAAAAAGCCTTCGACAGCGTCGATCGATAGGTGATTTGGCAACTACTTTGCTACTACGGGGTCCCATCGAGAATTATACATCTCATCCAACAGTTATACGACAATGCTGCATGCCAAGTAAACCACAACGGGAAACTTACGGAAGCTTTCGAAGTGAGGACGGGGTTGAGGCAAGGCTGTCTATTATCGCCAATGATCTTCCTGATTGCAGTAGATTGGATAATGCGACGGACAACGGGCAATGAGGGAACAGGCATAAAATGGACTCACACAAAAAACAACTTGGAGGATCTGGACTTCGCCGATATTATATGTCTGATTTCCATCAAACACTGGAAGATATGCAAGTGAAAAGCGACAAGCTGGCACAAGAAGCATCAAAGATAGGACTTCACGTGAACATAGATAAAACAGAGGTGATGAAGATTCCTGGCCAACACCAACATCAACAACAACAGACAACAATCAGCATAAATGGGAGGAACCTGAAAGAAACAACCTCCTTTACCTAACTGGGAAGCATCGTTTCAATTACAGGTGGAACTGACGAGGATATCAAAGCAAGGATCGGGAAGGCAAGACAAGCTTTCATTACTCTCAGGTCTGTGTGGAGATCAGCAGCACTCAGCATCAAAAACAAGATCCAGATTTTCAACTCTAATGTAAAATCAGTGCTACTATACTGATCAGAGACTTGGCGAGTCATAAAGAGCACCTCAATCAAACTATTCAAACCTCCAGCAATACTCTCCGACCAGAGAGCCAACAGACACCCTTCATCCACAGAACACATTCTCCCTGTGTGAGAGCCACCTCTTTTAGACATCTACAGAAACTACGAGCCGTTGACATTTTGCATGGAATCTTTCCTCAAAGGTCTATCTCCACAAGATCAGTATACCCAGATCATGTTAGCACGGAATGATTCTGCGTCACTTTGCGTAACCGCTGGGGGATTCTCACCGCTCAAAATGCTCAACGATAACTGGCGCATCGTGGATGAATGCTTCGCAAAATCTTCTAGTGCACTCTTTTCCAAGCCGTCCTCAAGAACCACGTGAGACAGCTGCCAACTACTTTCATCAGCTTCGTGAGATCACGTCTTCCGCCTTTCCTACCCTTAATAATGTGAATCACGATGAGAACATTTTAACCCGCTTCGCACAAGGGCTCTTATCTTACGAACTCAAGTGCTAGCTATTACGCCAACCGGTAAAATCCATCTCAGACACCTCAAGATTGTTTAGCAGACGTATTCGTTAGTTTTCATTGCTTCTTGGTATACGCTAGAGAACACTGACCAAAGAATAACCTTTCCAGCTCCCCGACAACGTAGCCTTAATGATCCATGACTATCCTATTAATATATGTGTAAAACTTGGGCACTGTGGAAGTAAGTAATTCCATATTAGTTTGTTTATTAGATATATCACACAGTGAAACAGTATTATTTGCTGGATGACGTTTCGAACAAAATTTATTGTTCATAATCATATCAATTGTAGTCACTCGATTTTGAAACTTGAGTTTTATAGTTTCCTTTGTTTTTTTCCTATTTGTCGTAGGGCTAGTAGAATTTTCCGGATATCAGGGACAGGTGATGAGTCATTTCTATTACATGTATTTGTAGTTGATTCGATAAATAAAGCTTCTGTAATCAATCTCTACCTATACCCTGTGACCTTACATTTTAAAACTGTCATCCTATCCCATCCTATGGTATGGTTGTGTGTAACTGCATGTAGTGCTATAGCTGAACTATTCTCTAGATTTCTAATCTTATTTGGGTCAACCAATCTAGATTCCTCTAAGTTTTATGTTAAGCTGGTCTGACTGTCCCTGTTCTACTAGTTTGACCTATGTATTTGACCTCACAATCATTGCAGGGTATTAGATAAACTAAATTGTTTTGTTTTATAGGCTCCACAGGATTGATCCTTTAATCGGCAAAGCTTGTTTCTAATTGATTTTGTGAGTGATTGAATGCCACTCTTATTCCTGCATGCATTGTCGAGAGTTCTGCGTAAGGTTTCCGAGGTTCCTTCCTTGCATGGAGTTACTACTGATGATTTAGATTCCTTATTGTTGGGGTTGTATTGCGCACATTTAGATTGTTGCAATAATCCGCCGACTATTAATACAATGGTGAACATCATGACACTTAGGAGTTTTTTTTATTACAGCTTGATTCCACAATGTATTTTTGGTACAAGTATGGAATTTTCAGCGTGGGTATCGGTAGCCCAAAATTCGCAGGCCGACCATAGATATCAGGTGTGCGTCGTCAGGGGATCGAACCTCGGACCATGTGCATGATCGGCGAGAGTCCTAACCACTGTGCCACTGAGTTCTGTCTATGTTTTAACAAAACCACCTTAGTTCGTGTTGGATGGATCACCTGGACTGCCTAAGTTACGTTCGGAGGGACTTTAAGATGAGACAGTGTCAGCGTGTTTATTATTCCCTTAGCAAATCGTGTTGCGAGAGCGGCTATTGTTCGCTGCAGCCAAAAATAATCCTCTTGCACGTACTGGCCTCTGGCATCACTACGTGGTATATGGAATCATTTCTCAGCATTAGATAGTCTGTTTCAGTGTTGAGATTGTACTATACAGGGCCGAAGTACCCTCATTTTAGGTTGTTTTGAGGCTAGTGCGTGCTATGTCTTTTATATTCGCAAATTTATTGACTCACTTCGTGCGTGTACGTAGAAGGACCGTGGGCCAGTCTATACCCGTTATGCCAATGAGAAATAGGCGATCCCATAGCTACTCCCTCATTTTGTTGGTACATTTTTCCTTCGAATGTGAAAAATGTTGTTGTCGGACAGAATTCCACCCCTTTTATTATCTCTTCTACGGATAACTGTTTTCTGTCTTTCAGGCCATTATCTTCTTTTAGTTTCTGTTTCAGTGCATTCATAGCCATTTGAATGGGTATTTTCGTATAGAGACTGTTTACATCAAAGCTGACTAGTATTTCCTCTCCCTCTATTTTATTGGTTTTTAGTCGCCTCACTAATTCAAATGAATCTACTATTCTAGCTTTTCAGTTATCTCTTGCCCGTCTTAGTATTGTCGAGAGAAATCTTGATAGCATATACGTTAGTGTGTTTCTGAAGTCTACAATCGGTCTTATTGGATATCCCTCTTTATGCAATTTTATCTTGCCATATATCCTAGGTATGTTACATGATTTTGGCATAATTTCAAACCCTTTTGACTTACCAGTTACTTCTTTGATTTGTCTAACTACCTTTGCTGTTTCTTTCATTGTTTTGTTGGTGATTGTTTCAGCTGATTTAGTCATTATGGTATAGGATCCAGATTGTACATGTTCGTTCATCTCTTCATTATATGTTGTTTTGTTAAGTATTACTGTTGTGTTTCCTTTGTCTGCTTGAGTAATGACAATGGATTTGTCTGCTCTTATGTCTTGAAGAGCTTTCAGTTTCTCTTCCGCAACATTTGGTTTTGCTGCTTTTTGATTTTTAAAGGTTAATGCACATTGTGCTCGTACCAGTTCAGTTTTTTGTTTGTCATGCCCTTCGAGTGCTGTTTCAATTACATGTATGATATCTCAGGTTTTAATCTTTTGTTGCTAATATTGAAGTTCATTCCTTCCATCAGTAAGCTTTCCTCTGCTTCTGTTAGCTTTCTGTCTGACAAGTTTAAAATCCAATTGGCTTTAGTTACTTGTCTGTCATTCGGGGCTTTCGCTGTCATGAGTTGATTAAACTTTTTTAATTGTTTCTTGATAGGTAGTTTCTTTTCGCTTTTGTGCAACTTCTGGTATGCTTTCATACTTTTCCTTCTCAATTGCTCCCCTCAATTTTTCTTTTATTTTATTAATATCTTTCCTTATTGTGAAGAGTTTTCGTATAATTCCACGTAGGTTTTCTTTGATGCATACTTTTGAGGCATGTATTATCGCTGCATTTGCTTTATTAGTAGATATCGGTGATTTTAATATCATGTATACAGGAATAATCCCATTTTTCAGGCAACTGATGTCAAAAATTCGATGGTTCATAAATCGAGATTTAGCTTGATAGAAATGTGTGAGTTTGTTGGCAGTTTTTAATGGGAAGACCGTCAGTTGAGTTAATATCAGTAAAAAGTCTGGACATTATGGATTAGATCAAACAAAGTATAATTATATTTCAATAGTTGATACACGATGATAAGTTTTGTTATTGGTAATATTTCAAGCAAAATTACTGCCCGTGTTCACACCATTATTGGAATTGTTTTATTCACACAGTTATGATTTGTACTCAAATATATAGTTCATAATTATCTTTTTGCTCATTCCTGTTCCTTTGTGTTCAGAATTATATTTCACATTCATTCATGTGTTTGTATTCAGAATTATATTCCAAGTTGTTGATAGTTGTACTGAGTCATCCTTGTTACATGTATCCGGTGTGACTTTAATGAATATCGATTCTGTTATCAGTTTTACTTTTCATTTGTTAATGTTAGTTTTTAGAATACACACATTGTTCTAATCGATATTGTGGTTTTGGTCCAATGAATATTGAGTTATCGATGAATTTTTTCAAGATTCTTGTAGGCTTTTGTTCGTGTTGGTTGAACTTTTTATGTCCATTCACTCCTATTTTGAGTGATATGGACGTTTGCCTAACATATTTAGTCGGACAGTCAGCACAAGATATTTTGTAAATCAAATTGTAAATCAAATAAAAAAAATCAAAATAATTGTGGTGATTGACTATTTCTATCTCTGTATCGTTTAAATACTTACTGTTGATTGTTAATATTTCTTGTATGAATTGCATTATTATTCTGCTAAATACACATTCCTGAATTCTGCCCTCTCTGTGTTTTGGTTGGATTCTTGTAATTCGGTCATCTCGAAATACTAATACTACGATTACAAATAATTACAACAAATTGGCGTCGCGATGGAACTAAATAACCTTGGAAAGTTTCCTATAAATGGTTCTCCGCGGGAAATTGCTGATTACCTTGAATGCTTCGATGCGTGGTGCATTTCAAAGAACGTTCGAGAGGACAAAATACCAGCACATTTCATTACTGCTATTGGGCTAGATGCATATAGCCTAGTTAAGACTCTGGCGTTTCCAGATAAACCCATTTCTCTGTCATATGTCAAGATTCGTGAACTTCTGATAAATCACTTTCATGTAACTACTTTTGAGACCAGAGAGAGGGCTCAATTCAATAAACTGGTTCGTGCTCCCAACCAGAAGATTCGAGACTTTATTCTGCAACTCCAAATACAAGCTTCAAAGTGTAACTTTGGAGATCAGCTGCATACTCAACTACGTGATCGTCTAATTGCTGGAATCAATATTCCTAAGTTAGAGAAAGAGTTAATTCAGATTCCTTCTTGTACCTTTCAAACTGCTAAAGATTTATGTATTACATATGAAGATGTCAACAGTGAATACTCTGCTCCCACTACGTCAGTATCTGATGTCATGCTGTCCAAAGTCGAAAATACAAGTGTTCATGGAAAGCAATCCAAACTGTCGTCCACAGGTAATAGAATGCAGCGAGAGATCAAAAACATTAAACCGTGTTTATCCTGTGGAAAGTTACATCTACGAAGCACTTGCCGTTTTCGGGGTGCTAAGTGTCACAAATGTGGTAAAGTTGGACACATCAAGACTGTTTGCAGAAGTTCGAATACTTATGTTACTCAGAATCCTGATAATTCTTCCAATTTATCTGGTAAAATGCAGTCGATGTCTCTTTCAACTTTTCCCAATACTCAATCTCATCTAATGAGAACCTTCACTACAAGTTCAGGCAAGTCCCATTGTTTTATAATTGATACTGGGAGTACTGAATCTATAATTTCTAAGAAAGATTTACAATCGATTTGTAAGAATGTCCAGATAGACCCTACTACTAGTTCAATTACAGGCATAACTGGTCATAAATTACCTCTTATCGGTGCTACTAACATTTCTTTGAAATCAGACAGTGGTAATTTTGTAAATATTCCCTTTCTTGTTAGTGAATATGGTCCATCTTTATTGGGATTAAAAGCCCTTAGATTGTTAAATGTCGAAATCTCACTTTGTACTGAGTTGTTTGATGAATCTTTGTTCAGAGAATTACTTCTCCAATGTTCAAAGAGTGTAGGTGGTATGAAGATTCAGCCCATCCATCTTGAAATAGAGGGTGATCCTATCTTCCTGAAACGCCGATTAATTCCATATGGATTGCGAGATGCAGTTAAGAAAGAGTTAGACAAGTTGGTTGAGCAAGGCATACTTATGCCAGTTGAGTCTTCAAATTGGGCTACTCCTATTGTTACGCCACTAAAGGCTGATGGAAAAACACCTAGAATTTGTGGTGACTACCGCCTTACACTCAATAGTCGTCTACTACAGCAAAGTTGCACTACTCTAGAAACTGAAGACATTCTCTACAAGCTACATGGCTCAAGATACTTTTCCAAAATAGATCTAAAAGATGCCTATTTGCAAATTCCTCTTGATGAGGCGTCTAGTGCATTAACAACCATTAATACTCCATTTGGATTGTTCAAGTATAAGTTCTTGCCTTTTGGTTTAAAGGTTTCACCTGCAATATTTCAAAATGTAATAAATCAGATGATAGATGGATTAGATGGTGTTGAGTCATACCAAGACGACATTATAGTTCATGGTCCTAATATCGAATTGCATAATGAACGTCTTTTAAAACTGTTCAGGCGTTTATGTGAGAATAATGTTCTTGTTAATCCATCTAAATGTCATTTCACTTTGTCGTCTGTATCATGCTTGGGATACACAGTAGACTCCGAAGGTTTCAGACCTGATGCTAGTCGTTTGGCACCTCTAATTCAAGCACCGTCACCTAATAATATGTCATCGTTGAGATCATGGATAGGTACTCTTCAGTTTTACTCCAGATTCATTCCCAACTTCACTCAACGGTTATCTCCACTTTTTGAGATTGTCTCCAGTAAACAGTTTAAGTGGGAACAACAACATGAGAATATCTTGCGAAAAACTTTGGAGTTTCTTAATAAACAAGCTTTCTTAAGACCTTTTTCATCGAAAGATAAGTCTGTTCTCACTACAGATGCTTCTCCTATGGGTATAGCTGCAGTACTTGAGCAAAATGGACAACCTGTTATTTGTATTTCAAGACGTAAGAGTGAACAAGGGTACTCACAAACCCAGAAAGAAGCTCTAGCAGTTGTATGGGCAATAAGACGCTTGCACAAGTATCTCTTTGGTACTAAGTTTCACATAGTTACTGATCATCAAGCTTTGAAATTCATTTACAATCCAGAAAAATCTTTGAATAAATCATCTGCTGCTATGGTTCAAAGATGGAGTTTAGAACTAAGTGCATATGATTACACTATTGAACATAGATCGGCAAAGGATATACCTCATGCAGACTTCTTATCTCGTTATTCATTATTTGAAAATGCTGCTAATGATACTGATTGCTTATTAGTCCAGCCGTTACCGGTGGATCGAGTTCGACTTATAAATGATACTCGGAAATATTACGGATGCGTTATAAATGCAACAAAAAGAGGTTGGAATGTTCAGTGTAAGCGAAGATTTCCAGACTTTTATAAGCGAAGAGATGAGATTTCAGTCCATCCTGAAGGATTTCTATGTCTGAATGACAGAATTATTATTCCTCCAACATTAAGATCTGCGATTTTGGATGATCTACATTCTGCTCATCTAGGAGCTGATAAGATGAAATCATTAGCACGCCTAACATGCTGGTGGCCGGAAATTGATGCTGACATTAACAAAAGATCAAAGAGCTGTTCTAGCTGTTTACATAAAATGTCATCGTGGACACCGTGGCCTGCATCTTGTGAGGTTTGGCAGCGTATTCATGCAGATTACTGTGGTCCATTCTTAAATTCATATTATGCTTTAGTTATTGTGGATTCTTATTCTAGATGGCCAGAAGTCATCATTACAGATAGTCCTAATGCCAAATTCACTCACAGAGCGTTGAGAAAGATTTTTAGTCGAGAAGGAATTCCAGATGTCTTAGTTACTGACAATGGTACTCATTTTACGGAGAAGAACTTCAATGATTGGCTCAAACATATAGGTTGTCGTCATTTGTACACAGCACCACGTCATCCTCAGTCAAACGGGTTGGCAGAAAATTTTGTACGAACATTAAAGAGTGCTATAGCATCAATGAGTCCTCAAAATTTTGATGAGCTAGAGAGATGTGTGGATAACTTCTTACTTCAATATCGCAATGCGGAGCATACAAGTACTCATGAAAGTCCTGCAAAACTATTCAAATCTCGAATTCTCAGAAAGCATCTGATGTCCACGACTTCTGATGTACATTATTACAGAGGGAATGATTATAGACCTTCTATTGGTATCATACTACAAAGAATGGGAAATCGAATGGTGAAGATATTAGACATCGAAGATAATTCAGTTCATAACAGACACTTGGATCAAGTGAGAATAAATGAGGTAGGTCGTTCCGATTATGATTATAATGACTCCGCTACTAATCCTGACTTTGTAGATAATTCAGAAATAAGTCTAGATGATACTGATGGAAATGATATCACAGAATCAGTTAGAAGATCGCAGAGACTGGCAAGCAAACCGCGATATCATTATAAATACGCAAGGAGACATTCGACGTGTGGCGGATGTGGTGATTGACTATTTCTATCTCTGTATTGTTTAAATACTTACTGTTGATTGTTAATATTTCTTATATGAATTGCATTATTATTCCGCTAAATACAAATTCCTGAATTCCGCCCTCTCTGTGTTTTGGTTGGATTCTTGTAATTCGTTCATCTCGAAATACTAATACTACGATTACAAATAATTGCAACAATAATCCTCGTTGAGAATTGTTACCCAGCACGATTTATTACAAAATCCATGAATCCTGGACCGCAAAGGCCGCCCATCCTTAGCGTCTCGAAGAAACTACTCTACATGAACCTTCAGTTCAATGGAAATATATCTGCGGAAACACTAAAAAATCGACTGTCGCGCTCATTCAAGAAGACCTTCTTCGCAGCTGAACTACGACTAACTTTCTCCACAAAACCTATTATTCCCGTGAACGTGTAGGATAAGCTACAATTGTTGGCCTCATCAATGTGTATTTATCAATTCACCTTCTCATTTGGAGCCAGGTCTGTC